TAGTCGAACTTGACAGATCTATAAAAAGATAACCAATAGAAATAAAATAAAATGCTGACACGTTTTTGGAGATTGAGGCTTTGAGATTAACACTGCACAGTTATTTTGCATGAACGATCGCTTTTGATACCCGATTAATTCGCTGGCACATCAGTCGGTCATTTTCGAGTTGACGGCCTCTGCCGTCTTTGGAAGGCAAAATCCAAAACAAAACATAATTTTATCCAATTCTAAATTTAATAACCTTTCTGTTGATATATAGTTTGTGGGGGTTTCCTTGAAAACAGCGCGCGTACGAATTTTTTCTGGAGGACTCCCGCGAAGGTTTGAAGTAACCTTAAATCAACTTCAAAAAACGTATCAATGAAAAACCCTTGCATGCAAGAGAGTTGCCTTTCGTCCTGGGTTAGGGTTAGTCGCCTTTCGAAGAGCCGGGTCCTGATGGGGATGGGGCGCGGCTAGGGATTATAAGTCACCGTAGTTAACAGGTACTTGATTTGTGTTCATTTCAGATGCACCAAAGGCTTCCTTCGAAGATGTTTCGTACGCTTTAAGTTGTTTCCTGGCAACAGTCACCACCAAGAACTCGTCCAACCCCGGCGCAGGCCCAGTGCGTCTGTCTTTTGCTGATGACAACCTGGAGCTGCCTCGGTCCCTGACTTTTGCGACGCCGCACGAGGGGAAGACCTCACCTGAAGAGATTCCAGAGAGCTTATACTGTGCAGCCTATCTCGGTAAGGCGCGGTCCAGTCTACTTCCTCTGACAATTACACGTGATTTCGCGTGACGTTTCGTGATTTTGTGTGATTTCGCGCGATTTGCGTCTATTGTAGTAGAATTTCCCCCAACCCATAAAAGATGCTCATTCTGGTAAAATAAGTGCCCTGTTCCTGATAAGCGCCCTTTCTCCAGTTAGCGCCTCTCCCATGAACAACCAAAAGTAAATCAGCGCCCCAGACGCTAAATTGAACCACTACGACAGTTGGACAATCGAACTCACATAAGGGTCAGTTCGTTTTCTTTGAGTGAAACCCAGTATTGATTAACTGAGTTCCATTGGGAACTAATTGCCTTATCTACTATTCCTTGCAATTTTGTACTAAATGTCCCAGCAGTAAAATGTGTTTTTCACGTCGGTTGTTATATTTTGATTACAGGAATCAAGGTGCTCATGGTGTGTTTTGAAGACCGGCTTGCTACTGAGTGGTACAGGATATACCAGGCCATGGAAACAGTCGTGGACGGTCACATTGGTACGTCTTTGCTTGTTAAGGTTTTGCTTGTTAAGTGATTTGTTGAAGGTTCGAGCAAATGGTAATTATCTTTCAGCCATTTTTCTAAGACACGGGTTCAAAATTTGAGAACATCCGCCAGACGTTTTCAGTTTGACATCACTACCTTGTACAAACGTTTTCCATGGAATCACGCCTTTGTAGCTTCATTGCACTGGTGTAGTAATCTCTAATAAAACTAGACTGGTTTTATGTGCTTGTCCAGGCCTCCAGCAAGTAGAATATCTTACAGGTTTTGACTTTCCGAAGCCATACAGTTAAAACCTGCGTATGCGAACCTAAATTTAAGAACCTGTTGGGCTAAAATTTCCCAGTTAAGCACCCTTCACATAACAACCATTCTGGGCAAAAATCTCAATACAATTCAATACAATTCTTATTGCCAAAATATAGAATTTAGAACCCGATTAAGAACCTAGGCAGCCTAATTTCACAGCAAACACCATTTATATAAGATCCTATGGACATGAGGCTAACGTGAAAAAACCTAGGTTCTTATACGCAGGTTGTAACTGTACTCATGATGGTGTCCTTGTTACCGCGGCAGCGAGTTTTGTGAAGCTGATGTTTCGAGTGTCAGCCCTACGTCAGATGAACTACCATCCCATAGTACCAATACTCTTAGTTGCATCATGCAATGGCAAAAAACCGTGATAAGCTGCTTATCTTTGCAAACTTTTCTCTTTTCTCAGGTAACGTTGGTTTCTGGGACTTCATGAACTTCTGTGTGTCTTACCGAACCCCTCTGTTCCTGTTGATGGTCCCTCTTATCAGAATGAAGGTAATGTATCAACGATATAGCGATAACTTCCTCTGTAGCATTTGTTGTATACCATATGCCAGAGAAAGTACAGCCAATCAGAAATGCAGGAGAGCCGTTGTATACTCAACGATATTACATCCAACCTTCCCATCATGCGCCGCTCGTGTGTCACATTGATTGTGTTGGCCACTGTATTTTCTATGACGTGGTATAAAATAGTTATGTAACGCTCTCTCGTGGAATACCAGGGAATATCCCACTTGTCACTTGTATTTTCTTGGTATACACACACAAGGCTTAAGGTTCGTGTTTATACCGAGGAAATTCAAGTGACTCGTGGGATATTCCATGGTATACCACGAGAGAGCGTTGCATTACTAGTATTTCAACTCTGCTTAATAAATAAATTACAACATTTAGAGAGGAAGCCACAGCAGGCTTGGCTGGTTTTCATGCGTCTCCTCTATCCTGGCCGCCACGGTATTGGAATTTGGAGTGTTGGCTTAATAGAGTATAAACAACTCGTCAATTAGACTACTAGAATACCCCACTTTATTCCCGTTATGGCGACAGATACAATAGAGGGGAATGGTTATGAAGCCTGGCAAACACCAAAAGAGCAAACAAAGATGCCAAGATTTATGTTGGGAGGACAAAGACCGTGCACAGTCTTATTTTGTCTAATATACTGTGCGTGAATAACGTAACCAAAACGTTTCTATTGGTTAGTTCTATCACCTTAGGTGGTGACATACTTAACAGGGAATTTTAAGTCTGGATTTTTAGGAAAGGGAAAAGTTGGCTATCAGTCTGTTGTTCGAACTTTTAACGCTTTGCTGGATGTGTCGTTTTTATTGTCTTGCCCTGCCGACTAACCAAAATACACTGAAATGTCCAATAACATGATTGAAATAAATATTGACAAAATATTTATAAGGCTAAAGTTACTTAAGACCCTAAAGATGACATAAAGTCGAAAACGTTCTTTGTTTTACTTTTTTTTAACCATTTTTTAGCCTTGTGAATATTTTGTCATAGCATTAAGCGAATTTTATGGAAATAATTATTGTTCTCTCCTTTTCCCAAAGCTATGGATTGAGTTTTTCAAATGTGCAACCCAAAGGTTGATTAAAAATACTTCAATACCTTTGCCCTGCGATCAAAGAGACTTAATAGGTCGTTAGTGCTTCTTAAATTTTTAACCAAATCTATTCTTATTAGTATAATTCTGTACAGATAGTTAATTTAGTTACTTTAGATAATTTAATTAGTTAAGTAAACACGGCTCGATGGAAGAGCATGTTACGTGAACTGATACCGTGGATAAATAAAGAATACCTACCTACCTTCCAGGTCACCCAACTGCGTCACAACAGCAGCACTGAGCGTGCTCTAAAGCAGAGAGTCCTGGACAAGATTTCGCGGCCGCCTTTGGTGGTTAACTGTCGTAACGCGCTTATTACTCGTTTCTTGGAGGAACTGTCCTTCATCAAACAGAAGCGTACTGCCGCAGGACTAGAGGAGGTGGACGAAGAGGAACAGGAGGAAGAGTGGAAGGAAGAGAAGAAGCGTTTAGTGCTACAGCCGCCTCCACTGGGCAGGGAACGCTCTTCCAGTGCACCAGATGAACCTGCCTCTGCAAATCCTGAGGAGGAAAAATTGGTGCCGGCAATGGCGCGTTCGGTCAGCTGGAAGGCGAAAAAATCGGTCTCGTTTTCACCGGCGCCAAGCTTCGACGAAGATCAAGGAACTATTAGTACGTCTCTCGGCGACGTTCACGGCGGAAAAGATAAAAGGAAAAAATGGCTTCTACGGAAGCAGGAAACCGTCGAAGAACATGAGGGTCACAATGACAAGGGCCTCTTAGACGTTGATTCAAGCGGGGACCCTTTTGCACACCAACGAGGTACCACAGTGAGGCCGGGAAAGGTGTCTGCAGGAAGAGGAGGCCGTAGGCGCTTTGAAAAATTTCGAGCTGTGACATCGACTGTGATGTCGGAAAGGACAACATCAAGCACAGCGGTTGAGGTGCAAAGTAATGTGGATATTACAACCAGCGCAGTCATTGAGAGTCAGGGGGAGAGATTTCAAATGGAGGTGTTCGAGACAGAGGATACAGTGGTGGAGACTGTCAACGATCGCCAAGACTCTCAGGCATCACTCACGCCCCCGATAGCAAAACCAGAGTCTGTAACAATCTCGCTCTCACCCCACAGTTCTCCGTCTAAGCGGCTACCGGTTCAAGACACAGACGACCAGTTTCCGGATATCTTGGAAGCCATAAAACCCTTGCCTCCCATCCCACCTGTTAAATTCATTCCTCAATCGGACGAGAAGCACGATCCTGCCAACACAAGGAACGGGTCAGTTGCGACCGAGAGCAACCTGGCAGCGGATTACGATGTAGAGCGTGCGCAGCGGCTCAGCAGGACCCGATGGTGGCACAAAGTGTATTCAAATGTTGAAATCATTTCCACTGACGAAGATACCCAGCGAATTCAGAGGGTGGAGATATCCGTGTCTGATTCCTCAGAAGTACAACGCGAGACGAATGTGTGATCGTAAACCAAACTAGTTTTCTAAATATTTATTTTTATCATAAAGCCGAAACTCGAGAATTCACCGCGCTCTAAAAAGAGCAGTGAGCCAATTGGTAACCAGAGGCGAGCGCGGGCAGTTTGCATTTGTTGGCTGACAAATTTGCTTTGGGCGATAATGGTGTTTTCCGAACCAGTTGCAGATCTCCGCGAACTCAAAACCCTCACAAAGGCGTCATAACTTTGTTCAGTAAGGCTGGTTTCCACGAGCGCTCAAGCATAAGCAAAAGTAAAATGCGCAGGCGCAGAAGAGTGCTGTTAAAGGCGCTAATGATCAACATCATACTGTTTCTGCTTATATCTACTTAAGCCCCGTCTACACGAGCAATTTTCTATATGACAATTTTTATATGACAAATACATTTGATGGTGTAGATAGCACAGCAAATATTTGTAAACCGTTCGAAGTTTAGAGCGCCAGTAATGACTTTGGACAGCGGAGATACGAAAGGCGAGGCTGAGTAGTCCCCCCCCCCCTAATTTGTGGTGCTTTCGAACATATTTGCCACATTTTGTGTGACGAGTCGTCTACACGAGCAATTTTTCGTATGTGACAAATTTTGTCGCATAAAAGCCAACACGTTAGCTTTTCAGCAAATGTATTTGTCATATCAAAATTGGCCAATTTTCCTCATCTACACGAGCAAATAAGAATTGTCACATAAAAAGTTAAAAAAAATTATTTAAAAATCGCTCGTGTGGACTGGACTTTATACCTATTCTTATGCGGCCGCGGTAGTGTGAATCAACCTTTTAGAGTTGAGAAAGGGCTCGTTTCGTTCAAGTCAAGTTGCTCCAAAGTCGGCAGGTTGAATGCGGAGGGGAACAATGCTTTTCTTGGAACTTCCAAAACGTGCTGTGTGTAGCTAAGTTTGGTTAATGAAAAAGACAGCATTACCATGTACAGCGCTGGAACAACCAGACAAGCAAGTTCAAATAAGTTAGTTAAGATGCTGTACACGAAACCTGACGCACAGCATTTTTCATTGCATCCTTAAAGAGAAACAGTTTCTTTTTACTTTCAGTAAAAATCCGAGCGAAAAAAAGCATTCTTTTTGAGTGCTAATACATGCCATCAGATAGATGTANTGCATCCTTAAAGAGAAACAGTTTCTTTTTACTTTCAGTAAAAATCCGAGCGAAAAAAAGCATTCTTTTTGAGTGCTAATACATGCCATCAGATAGATGTATTATATATGGAAAAAAAAAAAGATTAGGAAATTAAGCAAGTCAAGGATATTTGTGCTCTATTTGTGTTCATTCGTTGCTGTGCTCGGATTATTGTTGAGCCGTCAAGCTCTGCGGCTGATATCGCTCGCGCGTCCACACGACAAACTCTTGAAAAGCGATGACACCGTTGCTCTTTGAGTCCATTTTGTCGAAGAGCTCCCTCAACTGGACATCGTGTATCGGAGCGTTTAACTTCTTCATTCCTCCTACAAAGTCCTCTTTGCTGAGCTTGAGTCCATCACGGTCTTTAGACAGGATTTTGAACAGGTCAATCAGACGCAGTCCTTGTGTACGCACGAAAGCCAAGTACACGTCCAGGATCTCAGGGCGCTTTTTCCGATCTGTTAGACGCTCGCCTGTAATGCTGATATCCCACGAGCATGTAAAGGAAGGCCTTCCTTCCAGTAGAATCTCGAGCTCACGAGCACAGTCCTTATCGAAGACTATATCATCTAGCTGTAACTCTCTTAAGGCACTGGATGTGTTCTTCTGAATGGCTCTTAACAGGACACAAGCGCCGTAACTTTGAAATGGATTCCGCCCAGTCTTCAAAACCTCCAAGCTTTTGTTCGTCTTCAGGATTCTAGCAATCGATTCGACACCTTTGTTGGTGATGCAGTTACTGCCGATGTCCAGAACTTTGAGCGTCTGGTTGCACGACAGCGCTTCCTGAATAGCTGCAATGCCGTCGTCCAAAAGCCCATTCCAAGCAACATTCACCTCTCTAAGGCGTGTATTTGTTTTCAAACCTTCGGCCAGTGCACGGGCGCCTTTCACGCGTATGCTGTTCCAGCTCACGTCCAAGTTGTCCAGAATGGAATTCACCTTGATAGCGGAACCGAGGAAAGTTGCTCCTCTGTCGCCGATGTCGTTGTAAGACAAATTTAAGTGTGTCAGAGGAGCATCTAACCTTAAAGAATTGCAAAACACCGCAACAGTTTTCCCTTGTAAGTTGCACTTGCTAATATTGAGTTCTTTTAGAGTGTTGTTCTGAAGTAGCATGTCTCCGAGTTCGTCTGCAGCCTCCTTGCCTATCTGGTTGCCTGACAAATCGACTTTGCTGATGAAGACATTCCTCTTGAGCATCTTAGCAATGTAGGTTATTCCTTTATCATAGATTCCGTTGTCATGGAGATTTAAGGTAGTAACATTGGAGCATCCTTCTAAAGCCGTGCATATGGCTCGTGTGCCGGAATCTCCCAGACCGTAATGGTTGAGTTCGATATTTTTTTCGGTGGAGCACTGTTTTAGAAACTTGGACGAAGGCACAATGTTATTGTTCTTACACGCGTCAAGGTAAATGTCTTGAATTGATCGAGAAAGAACTCCGAACTCTCCTTTCTCGATTACCCGCTCGTCGCTTTCCTCTTCCAAGTCAGTGTCGAAAAATTCATCGTCTTCCATTATCTCGCCGAGCAAACCAACGGTTTTTTTAAGGTTCTTACCAACTGTTGTCTTTTTTCAGTACTTTATAGCAGTTATCCACCTTTGACTTTCGGAAAGCCTCTCTTTGATAAAACTGGGATGCAAATGGAGGCAATCACCTCTTGATAATTAGGTAGAGATTACCTTCCCACAGTTATCTCGTGAAGAGACGTCGTCCTGAATGTCGACCTTGCTGCTTTGTCTATTTTGTGTTTAAATGGAATTCTCAGGATCGTGGTCACATCTTATCACTGCATGAGGTCCACACGTTGAGGACGGTTTAGATCACAGTTTTGAATCAGCCCTTCAATTTCATTTGTTCCGCCATCAGACCCAGAGGTTTCGAAAGTGCGATTATTTACGCAGAGCTCGTAAACAGATTACCCTGTTATGGCACATCTCTCATTCAGATGTTTTCAGATCATTTAGTCACTAGGCGTCCAGTGATTTGGCGTTAATGATATGTTGTTTTGATATTGAAAGAGGAGAATACTGTGTATGTTGTGTACCAATTAGCGTCGAACATACAGGAATGACCACTACTAACCAAAACAACTGACTGTTGGGAAATTCTTTTTTGTTAATGAAACCTTAATGATTACTTTGACGGAGTTTCATCTAAATTGTGGTTATAAATACCTCCTTTGTGCAGTTCTTTGTACGGCATGACGTAAATACTTTCAACATAAACTACTCTCGAAGGATCTCACTGTTTGAGGTCAAAGGAAATAACAATTTTAATGATGCCAGTAAATGATTCATTTTGTCTTATTTCCCAATTAAGAAGTATTTTAAGTCTCCAACTTTCAGGAAAAAAAA